ACATTTGAAACAAGACATTTGAAACAAGACACTTGAAACAAGACATTTGAAACAAGACACTTGAAACAAGACATTTGAAACAAGACATCTGAAACAAGACATTTGAAACAAGACATTTGAAACAAGACATTTGAAACAAGACATTTGAAACAAGACACTTGAAACAAGACTTTGTAACAAGACATTTGAAACAAGACAATTGAAACAAGACATTTGAAACAAGACATTTGAAACAAGACTCTTGAAACAAGACTTTGAAACAAGACATTTGAAACAAGACACCTGAAACAAGACCTAGACAACTACACATACCCGAATAAGAGGTGCGGGTGTATTGGGCAGAGAAGATTTGGGGGTGGGTGGTGGGGGTGGGGGTTAAACACCCACCTATTATAAATATGAATTAAATTTCAATTCTAAGCCGAGGAGTATAGAAATCTTGGAATACCATGATCATAGTTTTATTATTAAAATTGAAAAACTAAACAGTGATTTAGTCCCCACCCCCTTTCTTTCCCATTCAAATGGATTGCCGGCACTGCACGAAGTACATAAATAGAACAAAACCCACGGGATATGTAATCGAGTACAAGACTCAGCAATCTCGGAAATTCAAAGACCCTTCTGGCCAAAATTTACCCTAATCCCAGGATTTAAATAACAGTTGGATAAAAAATTACAGGTTGAGGAGATTTCGCAGTGAACTTATAATAGCTGACATTAAGTGGGAAGTATGCTGTAGAGCTACCTGTGGTGGGTGGGTGCAGGCTGACATGCAGACAGGGGCGGAAACAGAGTGGCTTGTTATTCTGAGGCTTTTCAGGGGTCGTTCGCAAATTACGTCATGCAAAAAATTACCTTCTCAGACCCCCTCCCCCGTCACACATTGTCACAAATTCCCTACCCCCCCCCACACACACACATACTTAGTGTCATGTCACACTTACTAAATTTCAAAACTTACATAAAATTGTCATAAATATACTAAGACTTTATTTTATTCTTTAAAACTGTCCCATAATGGATTAAGACGTAGTGTTATTAGAAAACTGTGACGTAAAACGCAAAACAACGAAGTTCTCCCCAAGCCGAATGTAAAATGGCCACAAAAGTTTTTGCGTCATTTTTCGATATGCGCAGAAGGTCTGCGCGACTGAGTTCCACGATACCTATTATACCAGAGGCAATTGGGACCTCAAATTAATGTTTTTGAAATGAATTAAATGAAGATTATTCTTATTAGAAAATTTAGATTTTTTTGTGACGTCACACATTTTTGACACCCACCTCCCCCGTCACACATTTTTTTCGCCCCCCCCTCCCCCGAGCATGACGTAATTTGCGAACGACCCCTTCAAGATTAAGTGATACAGAAAATGTAGTTTAACAAACCGCTCCTCATCAATGTGGCGCTACAACCCTTGTAGGGTTTCGGCCAGCCTCACCACTTCCTTCCACTCAGTTTAACAAAAGGTAGATTTTTAAAAATGTTTTTTTTTTTTTTAATTTAAAAATGTTGACACAAATTTTCGCTACTTTTACAATTATTTCCAAACGTGGCTACGCCTCTGACGTAATTAATAAATCCGATGTGGTCCAAGACCATGCGAAGCTCGGGAAAGTTTCCCCATGATAGGACGTGCAGGACGTGCGCGTGGATATGGACGTTGCCATGACGAGGTCATTTAGATGGAAAATTTCCCCTCCGGTTGCCTTGACCTTGACATGCAAAGAAAAGACGCTGAAATGGTGGGAAAGACGTGTTCCAAATGTTAACTTTTACGTTAAAAAAGAAGAAGTACAAAAAAAAAAAAAAAATACCAAGCGGGACATTAGTTTCAATGAATCCATGTATAGCGCTTTTAAAACTACTACGCCTTCTCCCCCACCCACACCCAACCCCCTCCCCCCCCTTTTTTCACCTGGTGTATTTGATGACAGGCTCTCAATAGTGTTCACAGTGTTACTCTCACTGTCTGTTTTAAGAATGAATTAAAACCGGTAACGGCGCTGAGCCTAATTTAACTGGGTTTAAGGACCACTGGTTTTGAAAGTCACATAGGCTTTCTGGAAAATAAAAAAAAATAAAATTATGGATTACATTTTATCAGAAAGAAGAAAAAAAAAACAATATATGCATGCATAATGCACACTGTTCCCTGTTATTGTTATGTGTAACGCCTTATTTTGGTCTCATTTAAAAAAAAAAAAATGAAATTTAAAATATGCTACATACATAGTTCTTAGAATGTATGACCCAGATGCGACAGAACTTTTCACTGTCGGCAGTCCAGAAAAGTTAAATCAAAAATAAATTCAATCAGCCATTCGCAAACAAAGTGAATCATAAATATTCATGGATCCCCGTCACATTGCAATTTAAACAAAAGGGTTTTTTTCTGTATGGGTGCACCGTACATTTTTTTAAAGATAAAGTCTAGTTTCCTACGTGAACCCTGGGGGTTTTTCAGTTATTTCGTCAGCATTTTCTTTAAACATATGATAGAGAGCCACAGTCCCCCACCCCTCCCAGGCCCCAACCATTGGGCCTCTATCACACTTTTACCCTCCAGCCCTTATCATCTTTCTCTGCTGTACGTCTCAAAATTGAGAACCGTTTTTCTTACTGCGTGCCATGCTATGGTAACATCCCTGGGTGTAATCTCTGGAGTCTATGCCTGTACACATACGAGTCTACGAGGATAAGTTCATGCAGAACATGTTGGGCTCGCAGTGGTTCTATCAGACCCATGTGAAATGTTTTCTGTTTTGGATCAAGTAAGCTGAAATTGACTGAAATTTTAAGTTGTGTTTGTGTACATAAATACTATGTAATACTCAGCATAAATATGTTAGTTCTCAAATTAAAAAAAAAGGGGGTGGGGTTTCTAATATTTGAGGAAACTTCCAAAGTGACGTCATAACAACATCATGAACTGTGGGGAGTAATAGGATTTCCTAAAAAACGTTGAGTAGTCTTGGCCTCCGTGTAACCCTGAACAACCTTACGGGGGGGGGGGGGGGGGGGGGGTGTTTTTTAAAAAAGTCTCTTTTTACTTAGTCTATTGTTACGTACCGTTACACTGTTTTGAAAATGTAATATGTTTTTATTTTGTAGAATGAACAATGCGTTACAAGGGAGTGAAAACCAGTATGCAAAGAAATCGATACGAAAGCTAGTGATGCTAACAATAGTCAATTTAATTATTCGATTACATTTCTATAAAAAAAAATACTAAGTCAAAAATACAGAAAAAAAAACTATATCAAAACTTAAGCACAGCAAGTGAAAAGAAAGATACAATCTTCGAAAATACAAATATTAATTTATGAACACATATAAAGAGTACAATTTAGCAATTATATAAGTTCTCGTATATGTAAAGGTCTTATAGCAAAAATCTCTCTCTGGCTAGAAAAGCTGCCGGCCAATATATTGAGATTAAATCAGAACTCACTAGTACAGAAATTCTAGAAATATTGTGTCACCTTACAGCATTTTTTGTTAGCACGAATACAACGTATTCGAACGTCAACAATCTTTTACCCTCCAGAGGAGGGGTGGGGTTGAAAAAACGCTGCACATTTAATCGGTGACGTCAACTTTAAAACAAATAAGGGGAAGGGAAGTGGTCGACACTTTAGCTTTATGTTGAAGTGAAACTGGGTAAAGAATTACGCTAATACTTTAACATCCATGAAATGTTCTTGAGCGTTTATATATGTATATATAATTCTGCCGCATGGTCAAATATAATCGATTGTAAAGACCAATCTTTTAGCTCAAGAATAAAAAGACCCATTTAAAGATTTTTAGCTATCCAAAAATTTTTTTTAAAAAATGCTTAAATTATGTAACATTCTTCGCTTTTCAGGATATCAAGATGATAACAGAAAATCTGAATCTACACAGGAAATGAAAAGACGACTGTGTCAAACAATATGGATGACAATCTTGGCTCATTAGCTTGGTCTTAAAGTCACAAAACTATACAAACACACAGAAACGAACATCAAGAATATTTCTTCAACCTTTCGAGAAATATTTAATAAACCGCCTCAGAGCTCGCTAGCCATGAATGAATTAACTATCAACTAAGAACGAAACTCATCCACCACTGACGCTCAGTCATCCACCACTGACGCTCAGTCATCCACCACTGACGCTCAGTCATCCACCACTGACGCTCAGTCATCCACCACTGACGCTCAGTCATCCACCACTGACGCTCAGTCATCCACCACTGACGCTCAGTC